ATGTTCAGAATATTATTACCCCTGTTTCTCTTCATAGTGGACATTGGTGGCATAGACTTCTACAGATGGCACCTAATTGTCTCCCATCGCCACCTCAAACAGTCGTTCAAACAAGCCAACAAGAAAAACTCAGATTCAGTTCAGCCTGTTTTTCTCTTCTTTCAGGCCTCTTAGTAGAGAAGTAAATATGCAATGAAAAGTAACCAAAATTCAAGTAGAGAAATAAAGGAGGACAAAGAGACTGACTAGTTCGCAAATTGAATTATCAGGTGATTTTGAATCACCTCAAAATCTTTCTTGCTTTGGCTAAAGATCTGAAGCATCAAATATTAAGTGAACTACAATATTAATAACAACAACAATAATAATCAGGAAGCAAAGGAGGGGAAAGAGGAGGAAGTATTTTACATTTGCTGTCCCTAAGGGTCTAGGTGGTACTTCTACGTAATGTTACTCTGTGTACTATCGGAACAATAAGGCAAAGTAAAAACAAAAAGATGTGATTCTCAATTTTCACAGTGTAGAAACCAAGGCCCAGAGAGGCTCAAAAAGATTAACAGACTTTCTTGAGGTCACATGACTATTATGTGGCAGAACCAGGATTAGAACTTGGGTGTTAACATCTTTCACCTGACCCCCTCTGCTCATACTATTATTTACCTGCAGTTGTGAAGACTGTTGGGTATCAGATTGCATCTGTTTTTTCATCTGTGTTCTTATAATTAATCAAGATAACTTTAAGGTGATTTTATTCTGTGTAAATCTTAACATTGTTTTACATATATCTGATAACTTGTGTGGAAAGGATAACCTTTCTCCCTGTTCTTGAGACTAGAAGGATTTGTTACACCCTCTTCTCCTTCACTTAAAGAAAAAATGTTTTGTTATGAAATTTTTCGAAATGTGTAGCAAATTGGAGAAAAAGTGTAACAGACACTCATGCACTCATCATTCAGTTGCACCCTTGATTCTTCTGTCCCTTGTTGCTTTGTCTCTTTCTGCTGGAAGATTTTAAAGCAAATTCCAGACCTTCTGTCTTCTTATCCTTACATATTTCATTGTGCACCTCTGAAAAATATGGACCTTTTCCCAATAATCACAGTACTGTTATTACTCCTAAAAATTTATAATCATTCCTTGATAATGTTGAATAATTGATCCATTTTCAAATTTCACCCATTGTTTCAGAAATGGCTTTTGGCAGTGGGTTTGTGTGAATTTAGGTCCAGACAAGCTGCACATATAGGATATGATTATTTCATCTAAATTTCTCAATCCCCCTTTCACTTTTTAAAAAATGTGCCTCTGTAACTTGTGGGAGGCAGTCCCACACTCTAAAGTGATCTCTCCTTCCTCACCATGGAATTTAACTTGTTCCTCTTCCTCCCTTTCTCCCAGATTTTTCTGTAAACTGCAAGTTGCCTCTGTCATCTTGACTGCGTTCAGATGCAACTTTTGGTTAGAACCCTTGGTAGTTGTGCTGTGTGGTTCACGCAGCTTCTCAGCAGGAAGCACACAGTGTTGGGTTGTCACCCTTCCGGTGTGGCCCAGATTGATCAGTGATTCGGGGGGCGACAGCCAGGTCTCTGCAGTGCACTCCTCTCCATCAGCCTTTCATTTAGTGGTTTTGTCCACTGCTGGTCTTCGCCTGAACCAACCCTTTCATTAGGGTTGCAAAATGGTGACTTTGTAATCCTCTCATTTTTTTCCACGTTTATTGATTGGAATTCTTCTATGATGTAGATCTTTCCCTCATTAAGTAGGGCTATTTGGTTATCCTGAAATACAATTAGTACAGGAAAAACAACATAAATTCTTAATTATTTCTCTTTAATTGCCCATTTTTAGAGCAGAGATTTAGTGCCCTGGTTACCTCCAATAGGGATTTTTTTTAATTCATATTTTTTATTGACGTGTAGTTGATCTATAATATTAATTTCAGGTGTACAGCAAAGCGATTCAGTTGTATATACATACGTATTTCTTTTCCAGATTCTTTTCCATTACAACTCATTACAAGAAATTGAATATAGTTCCCTGTGTTACATAGTAGGTCCTTGTTGTTTATCTCTTTTATATATAGTAATGTGTATTTATTAATCCCAAACTCCTAATGTATCCCTTCCCCACCCACCACCCCCACAGGGACCTTTTTTTTTCTTTTTGAGCTTTATTATAAACTCTTAGGGTTTGGCTTTTTAATAATATATTCAGTATATTTCAATAAATTGCCCCTCCCCCTTTTTAATATTCATATTGTCCCATCTTCAGCCAGTAAGAGCCACATCATATTGGCTCCTGTGTCTTTTTGATACAACCCCATTAGCCGTCGATAGCATCTTTGCTTTTTGGCTCAACATGTCTGAGGCTCATCGTGTACTTTTCCTGTTCCGGTCCTGGAATCAGCCAGTTCTTTTATGAGGAATAGTATTCAGAGATAGCTAGGAAATATATAAGTGTATATTTTTAAAAAGAAAATCAATCTTCAGTTCATATAATATGTCTGATTCAAATTTAACATTAGTAGAGTTTTTACTTCATTTTTGTACTTGATTCTTTCGGGCTGAAAAACTTGGTTCCTAAAACATCAGCAATTACTATTTGCTTCATCCTTTTTT